TGGTTTGTTAACTAGTCCTTGGAGTTTTGATGATAACAAGTACATTTGTATGAAGAACAATTTTGCCTCTAACGGTTGTTCAATGTTCAAAACTAAGAAAGCAACTTTGACTCTGATGTAGTCAAAGTTGAATTGCACCCAAAAGGTGAGTTAAGCACTCATATTAAATATGGAAGATCAACAAAATCTGAAGACTGACGAAGTCTGAAGATTTGAGCTATCTGAAGCTAGCAGGATCCGAAGTATTAGAAGAACATTGTTAAATTCTGAACAAGCTTTATCCAACTTCATTAGAAGTCTCTGATTTAAAGGGATAACATACGAAAGAAGATCTATTAAAAGCAGCACATCAAATCTGGAATCTGAGTTATCAAGTCAATGCATTTACAAGAATACATCCATAAGGCTTCTAAGACATACTTTATTCCTCTACGACTCTGATATCTTAAGCATTGAGGAACTTACTATGATCAAGCTTCATCATATCATATTATAAGCCTCTAACTCAAAGTAGTTAAGTATGGAGAATACATCTAACCTCAGATCAAGCTTCACCAAATTCTTTCAGAAGCCTCGAAAATCATGATGTTAGTTGTAACAAGAAGAAGTGCGTAAACATTATTAAAACTTCATCTTCACATAACTACAATACAACATCATATCAAATTCACTTCAAATCAGATAAAAGATTGTTCACTGTACTGTTACTGTTCACACGTCTCATCCTAGCTTTGCTGCAGCCACTCAAATCTCTTCTAGCTAACATCTCTCAACAACTATCACCTGTGTGGATACTCAATCTCTTTTTTGATCAACGAATATATTTTCTTTATCCACTTAAAGAGAAATCAGAAGATTGGATTGGGTGTGAAGAACTGTGTGTTAACAATTTAGACATACACACACATGAACGAGAGAGATACAAAAAAAAAGAAAAGAAAAGAAAATGATGATTGAAGAAGAAGAAGCAGGAAGACTCAAAGAAGAAGAACACATAAAAGTAAAATATTTGCATTACTCAAGAATATCATTGAGTCAGTAAGAAAGAAAAGTGTTACTAAAATGCATTTATGAATCTGAATAGAAGAAATCAATTATATGCAAAGGAGAACAAGAAAGAAGATCATGAAGCTAAATAATGAAGATATATCTGATCTAAAAGAAGAATAAAAATATTTCTCCTTCATAGAACAAAATGGAATTATCTGCAAGGAAAAAAGAGAATTTTCTATGAAGATTGTAACACGGTGGGAGAACTGACTTGGTTGTTTTGCGTTTTATCGCAAATGTTACAGTTTAGCAAGAGTCGCCACCGACTTTTCTTTTATCCAAAAGGAAAGGCTGAAAAGAACAAGAAAGATCTTTGAGATGTTTTCTTGAGTTCGGGGGGTAGATTATGAAAAGGGAAGGTATTAGCACCCTTTTCATCCATGGTTTTCCATGGGCTCTTAGTTGCTTGCTAGATCACTTGCTTTTGTTTGAAAATGTGCTTTGTGTGGTTTTTGAAAGTATTTTGTAAAGATGCCATCGTTTAGGAAATTTTTTGTAATGATTCTTGTTCGTAAGAATGTATACAAAGTGTTGATCTTTTGAAAATGTTTTCAAGTTTGAAAGATGTTTTTGAAAGTGTTGGTGTTTGTTTTTGAAAATAACAAGGATGTTTTTGTTTTGAAATTGAGCAAGCAACTATGAACAATCTATCTACTCAAAAGTCTTTCATGTTTATTTCCTCTTTCCTTTGACATTGTTATCTTACCATTGATTTGGTAAGTAACCCTATCTTTGGATATAAACGGGACGGGCGTGGGACATCGTATAACCATGATTAGCAATGTTGTAAGATATCTTAGCATTTTCTTTAGGGACTAAGACCATTTTTGAAAGGCTACTTTGATAGCGTCATCGAGGGACTACGATCTTGTATTTGCTAAGATAACTCACATGCATAATATGACCATTTTGTAAGGCAACAAAGTGAATTTACCCTGGGGTGTATGTGTGCAAGTGTATTGATTTACATGCTTGATTTGTCTTGATTAGGGTTTTCTAAGCATTGATTTTAATCTTTCCATACAAACCCTAATTACTAGCATTTGTATATAAATCATTAAATTGAGAAAAATAAAAATACTAAGCTATTACATCATTTATGGGAGGGGGTATACAAATTTACAAATGGGGAATTGCAAGAAATTAAAACCCTAATTATCTATTACAACCATATTGAATTTTGAATAAATGTACAAAAATGAATAAATAAAAATGCAAGAATATAAATGTAAAAAGAAATGTGATTTTTGTTTGATTTTCATGAAAAAGGTTTTTTGACCTAGTTAACTAAAATAAAATAATTAACTAAAAATAAGAAAATTAAGATTAAGTTAGCAAAATAAATTAATTTAAAGAAAACAAGTTTTTTAGGGTTTTTGTGAATTTAATTAGTAAATAAAAATAATCAAATAAAAGTCCTAAGTTCTAAATTGATTTTAATTTATAAGAAAAAAATCATAATATAATGATTAAAAATAATTATCTAAGTATTTAAAAAAGTAAATTAATTTATTAAAGGAAATGGTTTTTGTTCTTTTAGTATTATGAAGAAAATAAACTAAATAAATATAAATAATAAAATATAATTTTTGGTTTTTTTATTAGTAGCAAAAAAAATGATATTAGTAATAATAATAATAATAATAATAATAATAATATTAATAATAATAATAATATTAATAATAATAATAAAAGATGAAAAAAAAATATAAAAAAAATAAAGTCAGGGAGGTTAGAAAGTGAAACAAGGAGTATTGTTAAGAAAAAAGCCAGGCCCATGGTGTGGAGGCCCAAGCGCTTCCTGAAACAAAAAGAAAAATGACAAAAATGTGAAAAATGCAAAAGGCGGCGTGCTGGGTGTTGAACCCACGCCCTCTTGGTTACCAGCGTGCTGCCTTACCACTGGGGTGGCCATATATCCGTTAACTTAACTGAAATGATAAATATATAATACAAAATGAGTCATGAATACACTTAATCTTCAACCTCCAGCCAAAGGACCTGTATCT